TTTTTTCTGGCACACTTGCAGCCAGATTTTCACAGTTTTTTTTCTTTTAACAGGATTTTTCTTATTATTTTATTTTTACAGTACAAGTAAAATTAATCAATCAGTCAAACTTTATTACAGACTCTGTGTCTATTCTTCAACGTCAGAAATTTGCATAGACCCAAGCTTTCACGGAACAAATCTAAAATCTATCAACAGTAAAATATTTGTAATTTACAAAATAACTTGATGGAGACCAGTTTCACATGTGTAACTTGCCTACTGGGCCAGACTTGACTGCAACGCTGTAGCGTGGGGGCATCCCCACTATTCAAAATGGAGTTGGGCACCATACAGGGGAATAAACATAGTCCTCCACCTGCCAATTTATAAAGATACCTTCATAAACAAATGACAGGGAAAGCCCAGACAGCTTACCACACGTACTACATAAACCCACAAGTTTAATTCAGTGTTATTTATATAGCACCACTACACAACATATGTCACCTCACAACACTTAACACAGTAAGGTGAAGACCTCACACACATTTAAACAGAAAACAAAGAACCTAACAATCCAAAGTTTACTTTGGATTCCCTATATGTAAGCAATGCTGACAGTGGGAAGGAACCAAAAAAAAGAATACACATGTATTTATTCAGTTTCAGTGTTTAAGAGTGCATCCACGATAGGACCAGGCGGGGGTGGCACAAGCCATCTCACCGATTTCAATGAAACTTTGCCAGTTTTAAAGGGGTCCACCCAAAACTACTTCAGTCTAAGTTTAAGGAAATTTGGTCAAACTGGGGGGATTTCACCACCCTTCCTTGTTTTTTTTGCAAAAATGACAAAAAATCGCCTTAAAAATGGTCAGAAGTATAAAGCTCTACTGCTGTAAGAATTCAACCAAATCTTTTCATATTTTCAGTGAATGTTGTCCTACCCAAGGACAATCTATTGTCAACATTTCCTTCTCCTACGACGAGTTCCATCACACAAATCATGTCAGCCAAGACCGCCTCTCTCACCCAACAGTGAAAACTGTTAAAATACCCGAAGTTTAGGCCAAAATATCTCCAGTGCCCGAGCATGCTTCAAAAAGCTGAGCATACCATCTAAAAGGTGGGACTTCATACTAACATTATCTGCAATAAAATCTTTGGGCATTCACTAAATTATTTTACAGGAGGACTGCAAACTTGTCTCCCACCGCAGGTTACCCGCTTCAGTTTTTTTTCATTATAACGCGTTGATTCTGTAATTATGGCACAGCAACAGACAGAAAATGCCACTAAATGGTTACACACCATACACTTTAATGAAATAGAACCAATTCTATTTAATTGCTTAAATAAAAACAAATACTTTGCCCACCACAAGGTACCCGCGTACATTTTTTTTTCATTATAACGCACCAATTTGGTAATAATGGCATAGCAACAGACAGAAATTGCTGCAAAATGGTTACACACCGCTGCAAGGTGGCGCAGTTGGTAGCACTGTTGCTGCGCAGCAAGAAGGTTGCCGGTTCGCGTCCCGGTGGGGGCACCGGAATCTTTCTGCATGGAGTTTGCATGTTCTCCCCGTGCACCGTGGGTTCTCTCCGGGTTCTCCGGCTTCCTCCCACACAGTCCAAAAACATGTTGAGGTTAATTGGTGA